GCCTTACCATTTTAATGATAAATATGTAATAGTTGATTTCTTTATATTTTGTGACCAAAGAATATACTCTTTGAATTTTTTCCCCTTTTTTTCTTCAACGTTTGACACGTTTGAATAAATATATGATAAAAGGATTTGTTTTTCACTTCTTTTAATATTGCCACATGAGTTCTTAAGATATCCCATCAACTTGAGCTTTCCTCCTTTGTAATGATTTCACGTATTACATTTTCACAGTCATTATAATTTAGAGTTTTTTTTATAGTAGTCCCTTAAGTCTTTCATAATTTGGAAATAGTTGCTCGAATAATTGAATTGCTACTAGGTTCTCCTATTCTTAAGTTATTTTAAAACTAGTATTTAGGCCCCTGCAATGCACGGATTAGCATTGTTATCTTTAATCTTTTTTGTGTGCACTCTATTATGTTACATTTTTCATTTTTCTTAGCTTGCGTTGTTTTCATATAGAGGCACTAAAATTCATAATTTGCTGTTAAATATAAGAACATACATATAACATTTGATTAGCGTAATAAAAAAATTTACAGAGGAATACATAATAATTTTCACTTCAGAATCCTATTCGCCTAAACTTTCTTGTTTGTAGATGACTTGATTGTTAGGAAACGTATTGCATCTTTCACAAATCTTGTATGACATAATTCCCCCCCGTTCCCCCGAAACAAAAAAAAAGGCAGTAAAGCAAGTTGCTGTCAATTGGCCTCTTATTTTTTCCCCTAGCCCACCAAGGTAGGGCCTCATATACATATTTTGTTCCCTGAAATATTATGCATATCGATTTGAACAGCATGGTCATGATACTTCTTTGTGCTTATCACCACACTAGACTATATGTAACCTAGGTTACCTGTATACTTCTATCACTAAGCCACACCGTACCTGATATGTACCGTATCCAAACTTCATGGACACTTCTTGGATATATGCATACATTTATTTAGACATGTACTCAATTATACTATATATGTTTTAATTTAAAACACTCATGTACTCAATTATACTATATATGTTTTAATTTAAAACACTTGTCATACACTTCTTGGATGCATATCCTACACTTCATGTCCATTTCTTGAAATTCGCTGGACATGGGTCGGGGTTGTTTCAGTCCATATCCAAGTTTAAAACTATGATTTAAAGGAGTGGTTTGAGTGTCTAGTTAATAAATGAACACTTTCCAATTTATAATAATCAAGAGAATAAGGGAAACTTAAAAATATTATAGGAATTCAAATTCAAATAGCACATGAATTGAAAAATAATAATGATCTTACGTAAATTATTAATTTATATATAATTTGTCGTGTTCCGTACTATAACAGCACCCGCACCTGCACCCGTACTTGTTTTCATGCAACTTTGTATGTAGAAAACAACTTTGTCTGTAAACATCACAGATGCTGTAGGCGAATAATCACATTAGTGCTAGTGGAAAACCATAGTATATATTATAGGACAACAAGCTAAAGCTAGAAGGATGAATGCCTTAATAATGCATATAAATCGAGTCGATGCTTTACAATTATATATAAAGATGCAAGGCTGATCCAAAGCCTATTATCATGTGCCGGCAAACACACAAGAGGCTAACTGTTAGAGCATGAATTTGGTCCGTGCTAGGTCTGTAAGAACTCAATAGCAGTGATATCAATGCGACTGATTCACCCTATGCAAATAGTCACAGTTGATCTAGTATCGCGTGTAGGAACAAGTCAATGGTTGGGATTTGTTCCTGAAGTGCATGCAAGATCATATGCACCAATAAACAATTCCGGGTTATATCCATAAGTTCTGATCTTCTGATTGATTTCTGGCTTCAGATTAGGTCAGTACAATGATTGCAGCAACTTAAAAGGCAAATGGTAGAAAAGATCAGGTCCATTGAGTCATTGACGGTTTTATGTCACTGTATGAGTTCCAATCTGAGAGAAGATTCAGATTAATATAACGAGGAAGATGGCGGTGTTTTGAATGAGTAAGGTCAAGTTTTGTTTCACATCAAAATTAGCAGCAGACAGTAAAATGGGTATTGGTAATAATAAAAGAGATTGAGATTGCAACTGTAGAAGAAGACGTGGAATTGTGGCTTCCCTCATTGTTAGGTTCACACTACGATATAGAGTATGTTCTTGGAGGAACAAAGTTGCACGCAGTAAATCTGAGTGACATATAGCGTCAAGATTCTAAGAATACAAAGATGCCCCCTATCTGCAAAAAGGACGCTAACATGATCCCCATCATTAATTCATTATGCATGATAACTTATGGACATGGAAGGGGGGAAGGTCATATTAGCATGACAGAAGGTGCAAGAATTAAGCATGCCATTAGTCATAACTCATAACAGAGACTAGTTGTAACTCAAATCATGCTGCACGATGAGCTACCGAGTGACAGATCCACATCAATTGTTATCGTCCGACAAATTCATCACAGGTTAACCATGAATTTGTCGTGTCTAAGCACTCGTTATTTAATTTGATCATGTTGCCTCTCCGCATATTTTGCCCTGCTAATTCAATTTCTTCTTGTAATGGAACAGATTCTCCTGAACCCACTTTATTTGCCGGGATCACGCATTGCATCATCGCATTTCAATACTAAAGTTCGTGCACTCGCAAGAAAGTATCTGTAGCTGAAGTCACTGTGCTTCTTCGAGAGAACAGTTTATTTTTCTCAGACTTCAAATTAAGCAGTTTCATATTTCCGGATTTTTACTGGGAATGTGCTTGTATAGCTCCTTCAAATTCTGTCTTCACGTGATTTATGTTAACTGCAATTTTTTCTCTAGGAAGGAATTTAAGCAAATAGACATCGCTTCAAGCGTGGGATTTGTATCGATCTCTTCGGTAACGATGTTGCCCAGCTCATAAAAGCAAAGCAGCAATAAGATTGAAGCTACTCCTTGGATTGTTATCTATTGAACTCTTTTAACATCGGATTGAATGAGGATAAACCCTGCTTAATTTTGTATGATTAAGTACGCTAAACCGCTAAGGAACTTTCAGCATTCTGCAGCAAACCCAGAATAACTTTCAAAGTCGCACTAAGCCTCCAATAACCTTTGCGTAAAAGTGAAAACCCACAATATCTGTTGGGTAAATTACAGTAAACTCTGAATAACTTTCAATATGCATTTTTATGTTGTTTTTTTTTTTTGGCTCTAATGGGGGTTATCTGCAAAACACAAATACTTACTGGGTTTTGCTCGCAACTAAAAGCGTGGTTTGGAGGAGAACCAGTAAACCGAAGCCCAAACGGCCAAACCATAGCCCACATGGGCACTCGGTTGTTCCCCCATCTGTAGGGGGTGTTTGTTTCAAATCCTATAATAATAGGATATGGATTTCACCATGGGATTTGAAATCTATAGGTGTTTTGTTATGGGTTGGGATTTCTAAAATGCTGTTTGTTTCATTAATATTTTGGGATTTGGAATACTATAATTTATAATATTTTGTTTGTTTCAAGCTCAAATTGTAGCGTTACCAAATGCCAAAATTTTGTAATATGATGAATATGCTATGTTGGTGAGGTTACCTCCCACAAAAAGATAAAATTTGAATTTGTCAAATCCTCTCCAATTGAGAGGTAAGCACACCCATTTATGAGATTTGTCAAAATCATCTCCAATTGAGAGGATTTGACAAATTATAAAAATTGGGCATTTTTTACACTTTTGGGATTTAATATTCTAAAAATTTTCTTAAAACAAACACCATATATAGAATCCCAAAATATAAAAAAACTCACTTTTTGATGCCAAACCTTGTAATCTATACCAAATGACAAAAGTTTTGGTGAAACAAACACCTTCTAAAAGACTTAAGGCTCCGTTTGGATACCATTGTGTTTTATTTGTTTTCATGGTGTTTTTGCCAAAAATAAAACACCATGCGTTTGAAAACCATAGTGTTTTTTGAGCTAAATCATCCTCAAACAAAAAACAAAACACTTATTTCAAAACACCTTTTAGGTGTTTTAAGTTTGGTGTTTCAGGTTTGATTTTGAGAATGTGTTAATATAATATCTAACATAATATATTAAATATAATTATTATAGAGTTATTATCAACATGCTTATTATATTATACTATACTATATTATAGTTAATTTAATATATTAGTAATATTTGTTAAATAATATAAAAAGATAATAAATAAAATATCTTATATAATAATATAGTAACAAATTAAATACCAATATTTAATGTGTTAATAATGTATTATATAATAATAAAATAATAATAAAATATAAATAAACTAATAAAAATAATAAAAAAGTTATTGATAATAAATAATAATATAATAATGATATAATAATATACTATATAATATTATAGTCGCTATAATATTATTAACTTTTTAATAAATAAATTGTAATAAATTAATAATTATAAAATATTATATAATAGTAACATATTTAATAATAACATAACAATATAATAATATTATTATAATAACATGTTGTATAGTAAATGTAATATAATATATATAAAAGATTAATAATAACAAATTGATATACCAAAATAATTAAATATATAATTATTTGAAATTAATATGTAATAATTATAATAATAATTATTATTATAATATAATATAGCATATTAAAGTACAATATAATATTATAATACATTATACAATATTATATTGCATTATATTTAATACTTATAATACTATAATAATATAAACTAAATATTATAACATTTTATTAATAATATATTTTATTATAATTAATATATAATATATTAATAATATGTTTAATACTAATATTATAATTGGTCAAACTAGTGTCAAACAAAAATATTTAACATGATGTTTTGAAAACATTTTAAGAGAAAAACACAACACCATGATGTTATTTTACAAAAACACAATAAAAAGAACATCCTAGTATCCAAACGAACCTGTACGTGTTCCGTCTCTGGAGCCCGCATCTAGGCCCTATGCTTAGAAAGCCACCGATGTGGGACTAAGTTTTATTCCGAGTTTTATTCCGAGTTCTCAGGTTTAACAGTTTAGACTGGCCTCAACGAAAGCATTTGTTCTTTCCTCTCGCTCGAGAGGCTATTTCCATGGAGGTTGGGTCCGACCTCGCCGAGGAGCTCCTATGCGTGGAGGCGGAGCTGCAGGATGTCCAAGGTATCCAAACCCAAACCCTCCATTTCCCAAAACCCTAACCCCAAGCGAAAAAAAAGCCTGAGCTTTTTCAAAATTTAGGGGTTTTAATTAGTGATTTGAGTCGAAATTGATGTTATGCTATCTTCAAATGCAGCTGCATAAGTAAATATATTAGAAGATTACATCGTCCGTTAACTTAGAAAAATAGGTATTTTCTTCAGCATTCAAGCAAGACATTTGCTGGTTGCTACCGTACTCAGTAAAAGGATAATATTTAAGATAATTATTCAATTATCATAGACCAAATTAAGAGGACATGAGAACTTGCCATTGCCCATAGGCTGAGGTCCTTAGAGTTATTATTTATTTCTCGATCTGCCTTTTTTCTCTTCTGTATAAAATTTGTATACGTTATGTCTGAACGAAGGTCACAGGATCACAGCTTAATAAGTCAATCTGTGATTGAAAAGTTAATTAGTAGTATTAGTTTTTCTCCAAATAATGGCTTCTTTCAGTGCTCCTGTAGATACATTGTCCCATAAGGTTGAAGAGGTAGTTATATTATACTTGACATAACAAGGAAAAATAGTGGAATGCGTATTTTTTATGCCATCTAGCAAGCGTTAGAGACCGTTAATGATGTCCTAATGGTATCTATAATATATTGGCTTCATATTTGTTCAATTACAATCTTTGCTTTAGCAACTATTTTGAGGGATAAAGAAACATTTTCATATTTTGAAGCTTCCCTCTTTCTATGCATGTTTCTGATACTGCAGATCAGATTAAGTTACTGCTTGACCGCCAAGAGAGGCTATGCGACAGGCAGTCTGAGTTGAGGGCCTTATTGGATCAGTGCAAGGAATCTGAAGCTACTGAAAATGATAACATTTCAGCAGAAGATTGGTCAGGGGCATTTGAATGGGACTCTCTTGCCGATGATACTCGATTCAATGTTTTTGGTATATCTTCATATCGAGAAAATCAACGCGAAGTGAGTATACTGAACTAAAACTAATGATATAGTTGGCCCTCATTCTAAACTAGGATAGTGATGTGCTATGTGCACATATAGTAGCTGGCAGCATTTTCATATTTCACTATTAACATTTGTTTTTCTGCTATTATATTTGAGCGGAATCTTGTGAAATGGATAAAGGAAATACAACCCTTGGATACAAAGGCTTTGCTAGCGTTATCCACGGCTTATACTTGATTGAGTTGCATAGTTGCTTCCAACATAGCTGTGTTTTAGTTTTATCTAAGTTCCTTTCTTCTTCATAGTTGAAATATTCAGCCAGAGCTTCCCTCTTTCTGGATGGTTCTCTGTTGAAAAAAAATGTTAGGGGGTTTTTATCTCAATAGTGTAGATATAGTATGGGTCTATAATCATGATAAGTTTTCATTTGATAATTAATGGATAGCACTTTTGGAATCACCAAGTTTTGAAATATTTAATGTCTAGATATTACTGCAGTCATCATCGACTTCCTACTTCAAATTTTGTAACTGCTCAAATAAGGTAAAGAAGAAGGTTTTCTGGGCCATATATATTACATAGGAACATACTTTGTAATCAACAGCTTCAACATCTGTCTAGATATTACACTTGTGTGACACATGTACAGTTATCTAACTTCTTGTGTGTCATTAGTGTTGCAAATGAACTTGTTCCTGATTGCATAATTTGTTGGTTGGTGCCCTTTTCTCTATATGGAGCTCTCTTTCCTGGTTAAGCAACAGAACATTTAAAATAATAATAGGGATTAAGGTTTCTATTTATTTATATTGTCTGAAAACACATACCAAAAGAGATAGTGGAGCTCTGAGGAATGCATCGAGAAACACTGTTTTATAGTTGACTAAGAGCATATCACAAGTCTCAAGCATAGTTCAACAGAAGTTGGAGAGTAATCGGTATAAAGGTCTAGCTTATTAATTAATACTTTATCATTTATCACTTTCAGTTGCTCTGCATCATTTATTGGTTGATGCATCTTATATGCACTTGTTGGTGCCAGATGTTGTTGATCTACTAATACATGTTGTTGATGCTGACATCCTTTTTTCTCCGACTGCATTTTAATCAATTACTCTTTAAAATACAAAAGTTTATGTCTTAAGTTTATAAAGCATCTCCGCTTATCATCTATTATTGTCTAAATTTCCATTTAGGAAAGTATACTTTAAGTCCGTTTTTCTTGTGATTTGATCTTTCTAGCTTTGAAATTAATCTTCTTGAAGAAAATACTGGTACATGGAAATTTGGCATGCAATACTTTATAGAGATTTTTAATTACCTTGTCAGAAATCTTTACCGGGAGAAAGCCATCATTTTAGTTCACCTTTGTGTACTTAGTCAATTTAGATGTCAACCTTTTAATGTCATTATGGCAGGGGCTGGTCTATATTCTAACCTAGGGTGCAATTGCACCCCTGAAATGATCATAATTGCATTATAAAGTCTTCACAAATTTTAATATGCCCCTATTTTTTTTAAAATTTGCATCCCAATAGCTTAGTATTTGCTTATATAACCAATAAGTAGTAGCTAATTTGAGCCCGTTTGGATTAAATAGCCCATTCCATTTGAATTTAGCCCATAACTATAACCGATAATTATATTTTTAGTTTAGGTAAGTAGATACTTGTCATTCGCCCCCCTACAGAAAAATTTCTGGATCTGCCACTGATTGATGGTTTTCATGCAGCAATCTTCGTTTCAAGATACTACTTTTGTTCCTTTACTTTTATAAATGCTAAATGTACAAAGTTCCTTTACTTTTGATATTGTCAGTTCTCTTATTTTGTTCCATTTGCAATCTAGGATTTGCTGCACGCATGTAGTTTAATATAGGGCCTTATCTGGTTTTATCTACACCCACTACCAGATTGTAAATGCCATCATGAGTGGAAGAGATGTTTTGGTTATAATGGCGGTGGCGGCAAGAGCCTCTGTTACCAACTTCCTGCTGTTCTTCAGGACGGAGTTGCCCTTGTTGTCAGTCCTTTGCTCTCCCTTATTCAAGATCAGGTGCTTATAGCTTGAAGATATCATGTTATTGGATTGGTTTCTAAAAAGTAATTGCTTATTTGCATGTGTCAATTTTTCAGGTTATGGGACTAACAGCTTTGGGCATTCCAGCCTATATGTTGACTTCTACCACCAGTAAGGATGATGAGAAGTTTATATACAAAGCTCTTGAGAAAGGCGATGGAGATCTGAAAATATTATACGTTACACCTGAAAAGATATCTAAGAGCAAGCGATTTATGTCTAAGCTTGAAAAATGTCACCATGGAGGGCGTCTATGTCTGATAGCAATTGATGTGAGTAAATACTTTTGTCATGTTGCAATGTTCATCTATATCACAGGCAGATGCATTCTATCTTGAATTTCTTGACATGCATAAGAGGAATTATTTGTTTGTATTCATTCTATATATTTAACCAATAACTAGAGGAAAGTTTTGAATAATGTTGTTCCACAGATTGTATAAATCTTTGGAGTTTTAATAGATAAACTTATTTAAATGTTGAACAAGGAACAATTTTAACCGGTGAGTCGATGACATGAGTGGAATGAAAGTTTTGTTACTTATAGCATTGTAGAAATTCTTTTACAATGAAAACTAATGTGTGTGGAGCCTTTGCAGTCATACAGTGTACTTGTCTCACATTGTGAGCAAGGAACCAGGCAATGTTTTAAATATCGGATATCGGGGAAATATCGGATGGCCAAAATTCATATCGGATTGCGGATATCGGGGAAATATCGGGGATATGTGGTAAATATCGGAATGCTATAATGAATGTTTGCATACATAGTATAATGCATTAAAATGTAATCTCAACATATGTAATGAAATTTAAGCATACAAAATATGAATAATATTTGTTTAGGATCGCTAATCAACCTTCTAAAACAAACAAAAGTGCAAAGCAACGTTGCAACATTCGATCTGCTTTTTTTAGGGCAAAATGTCATTTGATATAATGGGGAAATCTTGATATCTCGCCCAAAAATTCCAAACACGGTATATTATTTAGCAAAAAACTATATAAAAAGATATATTGGTCCACATATCGGCTAATATATCGGCCATATCGGGATTTATCACTCAAAATAGCCAAAAAGCGGTAAAGGATATTTAAAGACCATATCGGTTGCGACAAGCCCTGTAAAAGGATATATCGGGGGATATATCGGGCCATGTCGGGGATATTTAAAACAATGGAACCAGGTCAATGCCAAGTAATTTTGAATCTATACCATCTAGTATTTGTGTCATATCATGCCTCATTTTGTAGCTAGCAGTAAAGTAGAGAAAATTGAAGCCTACACTTGAATATGGATAACACAAGTTGAAACTGATGGCTCCAGCCTAATAATGTGTTCTTCTCATTTACATGCATAAGAGTGAGGGCAGATGTGATATATCTAAGATGATCTTTCTTGGTTATTATGAGTTATATAGTGCTTCTCCTTAGCGAGGCTTCTTCTAGATTTTGGTCACAGTAATACTAGAGTTAGTTTACAGCAACAACACAAAGCCTTTATCCCAAAATTTTGGGGAATTTGTTTTCAACGGATGATCAAATTTAATACACAGGAAGCACATTGCTGCAGTCAGTGGGGCCATGATTTCCGTCCTGACTACAAGAACCTTGGTATCTTAAAGATTCAATTTCCTAACGTTCCCGTGATAGCTTTGACTGTAAGTTTTAACCTATGCTAATAGAACCTTACTGGAATGTTTGATTGGTATCTGCAAAGATTGTTGACTATTGACTTCTTATTTACAGGCAACAGCCACCTATAAGGTGCAGACTGATCTGATGGAGATGCTGCACATCCCCAAATGTGTTAAATTTGTGAGCACTGTTAACAGACCCAATCTATTCTATAAGGTACTCTTTCTTACTGTTACCTTTTGGCTTGGAATCACATAGTGCACGAAATATTCATGTTTAAAATGTTTGACGAAAGGTGCATGAGAAGTCATCAGTTGGAAAGGTGGTTATTGATGAAATTGCTGATTTTATACGAGGATCTTATCCAAATAAAGAGTCTGGGATAGTTTATTGCTTCTCTAGGAAGGAATGTGAACAGGTTTGTTGAACTCTTATACATAAACTTCGAGTACAATTTTTTAAAATCCACACATGCAACCTTTTCTTATTCTTGTAATGGCAC